GTGTGGCTGGAGGGGTCATCGCTATGTGTTCCCTGCCCTGATGTGGAGGAGGTGAGGAGCAGAAGGTGCTGGCAAACTCCCTCTGGCCTAGGGCGATACCCTGGATGACAAGGCTGGCCTGCTCTGGCCCGGGGCAGTACCCTAGATGATGCAGTTGGCCTTACAGTTAATAACACCCAGTCACGTTGGCTGAAGGTGGTTAAAGAAAAGTTTCTGTGGCATGTCCAATTAGACAAGTGTTTGAAGCCTACCGGATCTAGCTTAAGGACAGCACCTTCGTGCAAACATTAGGACATGTTTCACACTGAAATGAAAGTCTTTCCTTCTTCGGTAGTTGAATCTTAGTTCAGCATTGGGTTCCTTTAATCTTGTGTCCTGGCATTCACTGAGTCTTGTAGGCCTTTACGTGAACTTGTAGGTGCTGACCTGTTGAGGTGGTTTTTATTCATAGGAATAGGATTATATGCTAAAAGAAATGCAGTCTAGGAATAGAGTTAAAGAGCAGGAAAAAACCCCCAAGGTCTTTAGACATAAAATTTTTGACAGTGTGTTCGAGCTTGAATAACAGTTCCTGTGTTTAAAAAGACCCCTGTAGCAGCAATATTATTATGTGTGTGAGGAGGAGTGCAAAAAGGCGATAGGACTCTTGTATATCATTTATCATATAAATAGTGTCCCAAAAGGCAAGTAGTTAGTTCTATGTTGACACGGCAAGTATCAGCGGTATTCCCACAGAGTGAGTAAACAAGCATTCCCTTCAGCTAGTTCTCTTTCTTCAGTTTTATTCTTCTTAGCAGTTAGTGTCATTGTCCTAAGGCTTTCATTTGCTCTAAGTGAGGTGCGCTAAATTCTCCTCTGTTTGCAGATGACTTCTCTGGGTCGCAGGCAGACACCGAGGGTGGCTCTGGCGGAGTTGATGAGGTCAGGCACAGCACTGCACGGAGCTGGCCGTGCTGCTTCCAAGATCAGGTTGTGCTGGGAGCTGTTTAGCCACTCTCTCATGACGAGCGATGCCCAAATTGAGAAGTCCTGTGGCTCCGAGTTGTTTCGGCAGCTGGCTGGCCTGTCTAAATGCTGTTCCCCCCCGTGTGCTCTGGTTTCTGAAGCGGCTGGTTGGTGAGGCATAGCGTTAGGCGGAGACCAGGGCTTGCTCCAGTCTGTGCTGGTGCCTGTGCTGGTGCCTGTGCTGGTGAGCCCTTGGGAGCGCGGAGCACCGGGGAGGGCACAGTCCTGCCTGGGACGGAGCTGAGTTGGAGCGAGGAAGCGCATTGTGCTGAGCTTGGGGTCAGCTCTTGGTGGTGCCTTTGTCCTCCCTTCTGCAGGTGCCCTCTGTGGTACCCTGGGAGCAGCTGAACAAGAGCAGTATTTACCGGTGTGTTTTGAACCAGGACAGAAAGCAGAAATTCTAAATCGAACTCCACAAACAGCTTTTAAAAACAGTTCTTACAGTGAAATGTTGTTCGTTACTAATACCAAAATTACAGATATATTTGGTACATTTTACTTCTTCATATACAAATGGATGCTAGATTGATTTTGAAAAGAAGTTTCCTCCTTCATCCTTTGGGGAGGAGCACACTTCGATCAGCTTAGATTTCCAAGTGGTTTCGTGGAAAAACAGTTATCTTAGTAAATATTAAAACAGGCCTAGCACAAGTGAGCACTCTAATCAAAATAAATCCAAGAGTAAGAAGAAAAAAAAAAAGGAATATATTCAGGTGAATAACTGCGTACCCACTACCTATTAAAACATATGCAGCATAAACCAGAAGGGAAACAAAAGTCTGGAATTGTGCCTAGGTGTTCTTGGGCAAACGAGGGAGAATTAGGCTGCTGGCTCACAACTTTAAATCCATCCCAATGGGATGTGCACTTGGCTGCTCACACCTTACAGGGGGTGATGAGTAGGTGTCACCTTTTTTTTTTTTTAATAAATACTTCCTGCTTTCCTAAAAGATGTAAACCCAAACCATCACACTTTGGTAACAGCAGTTAAAATCCGTATTTCGTACAGAAAGAGATAAAAGGTAATGCAGCATAAGGACCTTGAGCAGGATATTTGTTTTCTGGTTATCTCTTGGTTTATTTATTTTTTTTAATGCTGATTGTCTTACTTCTTAGTTTTGAACTATTCCTCTTATTTCTTCCGACACAGATTTTTAATGGGAGAGAACAAAGATAAAATTTCTGTGCCCTAGAAAATGAAATTTCATTTAATGGATATAAGCTAACGCCTAAAGTGCAGGATTTGTACAATGTTCCTATTAGGGCTCTTCAGCATTGTTTTTTTCTAGTTACAGGTGTATGGTTGATACTCGTATAGGTGAAGTTCTTCAGTTGTGCCAATACACCTTTTCAGTCCAGGCACTACTTAAACTGAAGAAGTTGTGTTCTGAGAGGAGTTTTGAGGTTGGCATGAGCTAAATTAGGAAAAGTCTTTTCCATACCACGTTAAATAATCATACGATGTTAGGATTTAGCCTATTCATAGTGTTTAAACTTACTACCTGAAACTAGTGTAACTTTTTTTTGCATAAGCAGGCTCTTAGGGCAAGCTCTTTAATGCAGCATTGTTTCCATTAAAAAATGGAATTTTCGTACTTGCAGCTCATTAGTTGTAACTCCTTTCTCACGCTGTCTGTCCGATTTGGGTGTGCAGGTTTCATTGCGTTCACTCCTGGTTTTAGCTTTCCCTTAAATAAACATCTGATTGGGGCTTGTAACCCAGAGAGAGCTGTGCCAGAGAAGGAGCTTGTGTGGTGGGGCTGTTCTTAAATACCAACTCATTTCAAAAGTGCTTTATTTTGATTTAGCTTTCCCTGCTGGAATTACAGCATCTTGTGTTACCTTGCTGTTAACTGGATTTCGTGCAGGAAGGTATCCCTTGATTTAGGAGGTTGGTGTGTGAACTGGAAACGTTCTCGCCTGTTCCTGACTGTGTGGTGCCAAGAACGGGCAGCTCGTGATTGATTTTCTTGGTTATTTTAGAGTAAATATTTTTTAATTTAATAATATCACATATTCACTGCAGAAAAAGTTGATTTTTGTTTTTGAAAACAGAGTTGTCAAGTAAAGTACTTCAGTCAGGAAATGCCAAAGTTGTCTCCTCACTGAGTGGCGATTTTTCCATCCTTGTTTTTCTGCTTGGCGTAGGTGCTTTATAATAGCCTGACACCATGTTTCGAAAGGGGCTCTTTTTCAGTGCCTTCTCTGTCCTATTTCGTGTACGGGGTAGGTAGCAATTGCTTAAGGACCGGTTACTGCCTGTTCTGTTTGATGAGTGTGGTGCCTTGCTCTCTGCTGTTCCCTGTTGTGGGGAGAGTGTCCTGTTATGAAGGGAGTGTCCCCAGCAGGTTTTGAGGGGTTGACATCTGTCCCTAGCAGGTTTTGGGGGATGAACATCGTACCAGTTTGGTTCTGCAAAATCATTATGAAGTGGAACTCTTCTTTATTTCTGAATAATAAAAGGAAAAAGGGAAAAATAATCTTAATTGGCATTTTTAACATTTGAACTCTAGACCTTACTGTTTTAAAACTTTTTTTCTTCTCCTCCCCTGTTCACCCCGCTACCTTCTCTGTTACTTTTATTCAAATAAAAGTGAGTCTTGTTTTTGAGGGGCAAGGCTGGATTCCTCACACAGATCTCTGCAACTGAGCTGAGAGGTTGCTGAACTCCTAAACCAGCCTCTTCTATGTGGGCCTTGCAACAACAGGAGTAACTTGTGCTTTGGGAGTTGCGAGATGTTTTGCACTGTCTGAGGACAGAGTGATCGAGTGAGACATTTCAATCCAGCTCTTCAAGGTAGTAACTTAGCAGGCATGTGTCCTACTTTTTTTTTCTCTTTCTTACTTCTCTGAATCGGTTAGTCCTTCATCACTTCTTTTCCCAATACATCAACTCTTTATTAGAATGTTTTCCCCTTCTCAAGACAGTGCTTACAACTTTTTTTGCTTGCAGATCCTTTTTCATACCAAGGGGGTATTAGGCCTGTTCTTTCCTTAGTTCTTCTGTCTGGCCAGACTGTTGGAGCAGCTGAATGGCTTCTTCAAACTTACTCTTAAGATCTGGGATGAGGTATATTGATTTGATCTAGAAATATTTGAACCAAATGCATTTGGTGAAGGTGGAATTCTTTTCTTAGCTGTTACATGAACATTTACAGAAAATGCATGATCATTTTTTTCCCCTCTATCCAAGTAAATAACTGGCCAAATCTGGAAGAATTCCTCTGAAGACTGCTATGGACAGTTATAATGTTACCTTTTTTAAAGTTCAAGCTTTTCTTTTAAAGTATATTCAAACACTTCCAAAGCTGCCATATGCAAAAATAAACAGTACGAAGAAGAGTTTTCTTATCCTGCCTGAGAGAAGATTGTTTCGAGATGTTTTTTAAGGCGTATATGTTTTGGAAAAATTTTGACATTTTCCAGATTTCTGCCCCAGCCCGAATCAGTTGGGCAAGTAAATCTTCAACTTGTAAGATTAAAATATGGCAGAGGTGTAAAGCATTGGCTGTCAGGTTTTAAATGGGATGCATTGGGTAACTTCAGAAAGAGTGCTAGCTGCTTACAGGAGGCCAACCGAGAGGGAAGGTCGTATTCATTCCTCTCGTATGTTACTGTGTTCTTGCATTAACGTTTTTCTCAAATAAAAGGTGCTAAAAATTGTTGACTTCTCCCTGTTCTCTTTTGGGTTTAGGTTATTCAACTTCTGAAAGCTGGGAAAGCAAAGGAAGTTTCTTACAATGCCCTGGCTTCACATATTATTTCAGAAGATGGGGACAATCCAGAAGTTGGAGAATCCCGTGAAGTTTTTGATCTCCCTGTCGTAAAGGTGAATTAACTCATCCATGATAGTGTCAAAGTGCTGCCATGGATACCTCATGATTGTAACAGAAAACACTCATGTTTGGATGGTGACCATATGAAACGTGTCTCTCAAAATCTTTTATTCTTGTTACGCAAACTTTTATTGTAGACTTCTATTATAATTCTGTTCTCCCATTTCTCTTGTGGCTGTGTATCTATCGGTGGTTTGGGTTTTTTTATTTTCTGTTCTGTTTTTTTCCAAATTCTTCCTTCAGTCATCTGTGAGATATGGTGTCCTATTAGCTGTACTTCAGGAGTGTTTGTGATGGGAAGGTTCTTACAGGCCTCTGGCAGTGGAAAACCTCAATTTACAATAAGGAGTAGACTGCTGAGTGGTTTTTTTTAAACATGTATAATTGGCAAGGTGTGAAATAATTTTATTGATTCTGCGTATGTGTACTACGCTAATTTTAAACAATAGGACCTTGTAGAAAAAGAGATTATATTTTTTTCTCTTGATTGTAGTTTTTCAAGATATTTTTTTTTTTCCTTACTCATACTGAAATTACTGATATTTTATTACTATCTTGCAATAGTGGTTATTCTTCCAGTGGGAGATTATGGGCTTCAAGTTTGAAAATGTGAACTTGTCACCCTGCAAGTCAGGAGAGTGATTAGAAGAAAAAACACTAGTATTTCACTGCCAGTACCTTTGGGTACATGATTTCGAGTTATTTTTTCCTTATGGTTGCAGGTAGCAGTAGAGAATTTTGATAGCTTATGTCATGAGAATTCACCTGACAGTGTAGAAGTATGATTTAATTCCAAAAAATAAAAGGTGCTCAGTTGGAGACCTTATGGTTATAGTGAGTGTGCTCATTAAGTTTTGGTTCCTTTTTCTGAAGTGTTTTGTGGCAAAATTTTTATCTTACAAACAAGACAACTGCTGCCATTCTCACGTGAAGGAGGAACATCAGCATCCTAACAGTGCTTTCTGCTTAATAGTGCCATTTACTTAAATAATTTAATTTTCTTTATAACTGGTACTAGCTAAATTTTTTGATTTGCCAAACAAGAGGAACTCTTGCAGTCAGGTCACTTAGTTTGACCTGAAAACATCACAGCATGATCTGTAATCAAGAAAATTAGACTAAATCTTAAGGGAATGGAAGTCAGAGGCAAAGGTAGCTTGTTAGAGAGAATAAGGAAGAGAAAAACTTGAGGGAGGAAAATCTCCCCCTTTTTTTTTTTTTTGGCAGAGGGTTGAGGAGTTACGAATGAAATTTTTTTAGTTCATTTTTTTGTATGGCTTCTTGTAAGGGAAAG